ACCACCAAAGCAGCTTCCAGGGAGCTCCCGGCTGTTCATTCGCCACCCTCCGTTTGTCCCAGGCCGGATGAATCCAAGCCTTGGGGCATGGCTCAGTTACACGGTTCAGGAAACTTCTTGTTTGTCTAATAATCTCTTCCACTGATGCAGGGCTTCCTGGGCCATAATGGAAATAAGCCTGGAAACTTTCAGGAGTCCGCTGGGCCCCAGGCTTGCTGTCTGACTTCGGGCTCCTTTCCTCCTGACTCGGATGCCCTACCCCCTCCCCACTGTGGCCGGTGAGGGGCGGGAAGGCCTTCGGTGAGAGGAGCTCGCACACCTGTACCTGTGGTCCCTTAGGCTGCCCGTCCCGTGGCCGTGTGACCTTGGTGGCTTCATGCTTCTGCGTCAGATGGCCCAGTCTCTCTTTGTGATTGCTCGTGGATGCCCTGGGGCTGATTTCAGATTCTCGTAAAGGATGGTTGGAACCCCATTCTGGCTCCCTCCGTGACTCTTGGAACCAGAGATGACATTTTCACTTTAAACAAACCCAAGCTATTCGTGCTGGCGGAGCATTTCTCCCGTGTCTCTGGGAAGGATTTTTGTCGATTTACGTCTTGTTTCCATCACGCTGTCTGGGCTTTTCTGCTGCTCCAGATGTTTTCTCTCCTGTCTTTTATCCGCTTCCGTCCTTGCCCCAGCCTTTCCCCAGAGTCTCTGTGAGGACTCCCTGCCCTTCCTCCTCGCGGACACAGACGTACCTTCCTCCCGTCCACTAACGCTGATCGCGGGCCTACTGTGTCCTGTCATGGGGCCACACAGAGGGCCCACAGACCACTCTTGGCCTCTAACAAAAATAAGTACAGAAGTTGAGAGGAAGCTTTTAGAAACTTTAAAGCATTTGATAGCATCACTTATGTCCATTTAATTTCTAAATGGGGGCTTCTATGTCTGTATTCTTCAGTTCTTTCTGGCAATTCGTTTATATTACATGTTATCAAAAGATTGGCTCAAAACAAAGGAAAGAGCCCTGTCCCTTTACCACGGAGGGTTTGGGTGGAACACTAGTAGGACATATATTGATTATCCCCATTCTACAGACTGGGAGATTGAGGCTGGCGACACCCAGGTTCTGGATTCGTTTTGGGGCAGAAATGGTGGTCCGTTAGGGCCGGGCTTGTTCCCACAGAACACCACGCAGACCTTGACGGTGAAGAAATAGCTCTTCACGGGTCCTCCCAGCAGACGTCCCGGCCTGTGCCTTGGCCTGGACTGAATGCCCCCCGTGAGCAGAGAGTCCCCAGATTGCAGAGGTTCCCAGCCCCCTAACCTAGAAGAGATGATTCGCACTCGCAAGGTCTTTTTCGCAGTTCCTCGCCAAGCAAAAAGTTTGCTTAGGGACCCTTACCGTATTTTAACAGCGCTGAGAAAAGACCGCCTCTGTGCAGTTAGTGTAGGTAAATTATGCCGTATTAGATTTCATAGCGGAATCACTAAACCGTTTGGTCGTAATGATGTTTATTTTTCTGCTGTGCGTGGATTACGCACTCACTGGGGGCGGTTTAGAAGATACAGAAAGCAGAAGAAAGAGGAAATTGACATAGAGAGAAATACGGTTTCCATTAGGTCCATTTCCTTTCCTGGTTTTTTCTGCGGTCTCTTTCGGTGTCTCTTGATGTGGGAAACAAAGGCAGATAGACCTCAATTTCCTTCTAGGCTGCAGCCCCTTGGCAGATACTGGGGCAGCAGAGGAACATGTTTCTGCGGGATTCCCTGCTGTCTCAGCCCTGATGCTTTGCTGGAGGGAAAAACCATCCTGGTTTGACAAGAGCTAGGCCTCCGGTGCCCTGGGAGTCTTTAGCAGTGAAAATGTCCCTGGAAACTTCCCCCGGACTTTACCTCCCCCAACCCCACAGTATATAACCAGCCTCTCCTCATGGTCCCCGGACAGCTCTTTCTGCCCACGGGTCCTGTCCCCGGGCTTTAATAAATAATAAAATCGCCTTTTTGCACCAAGGACGTCTTCAAGAATTCCTTCTTGGTCGTCAGCTCCGGACCCCACGCCCCACTATCGCCCCAAAAACATCATGTCTCACACGGATGCGCTTTGATTTTTGCTCCCCCCCGCCCCCGCCCCGCCCAGCGCTGTAACATAATGCTGTCGACTTGTGATTGAGTTGGGTTCCCTGTCACCCGGTCTTGAGGAAGGGTCCTCGACTCCGGAGGCCTTGGTTTTCAAGGATTTTTAGGGATCCTCCCCGCCCTTGGCCGTATGCAAGCTGAAAGGACTAACCCATTTCTTCTCTTACCCCACAACTACCAGTGGAAAACCACCCCATTCGATTAAATTAGGGTACCCCGCCGTCTCCCGTGGCCGTGTTGAATTTTCTGTTGAGTGCAGGGGCCTTGTCTAAGCCGAGTGCTCAACCCCCAGCACAGATGCTCAGACCCGTCTGCGGAATGAACCCAGTGAGTGGCTGTGGATGACCAGCGGTAAACTGAGTTTTGCAGGCAAAGCTGTAGGAGGACATTCATTTCCTGGGCTCCGCAGACGGGCTGGTGGGGAGCTTCAGCAACAGAAACATAGCGTCTCACAGTCTGGAGTCTAGACGCCCCAGAGCAGGGTGTTGGCGGAGGGCTCCTTCCTTCTGAGGCTTCGGGGCAGAATCTGCTCCTGGGCGGGGCCTCTCTCCCGGCCGCCCCGGTGCTCCTTGGCCAGTGCACGGATGGCTCTCTCCTGCCTGTGTCTTCACATCCTTTTTCCTCGGTGCGCGTCTGTCTCTGTGTCCAGGTTCCTCTTTTTATAAGGACACAGACCACCCTAATCCACCTTAACGCGATCCTCTGCAAAGACTCTCCTCTAAAGTAAGGTCACGTTCACAGGTACTGGAGGTTAGAGCTATAATATCTTCTGGGCGAGGTGAGTGGGGGGGAAGACACAATTCACGCCCTAACAAGAAGCCTTCCCCAGGTGCACCGTTTGGGGGCCGTGACTTGCATTTGCTGAAATAGGGCAAGTGCTTCGGATGGCCTCAGCACCCACAGCACTCGGTTGAAACGCTGAGCTAATGAAACGGGCGCGATTGCCCGATGCTTATAGGGAGGTAGAGAATTCAGAGTTGCTGCTGAGATAAGACGGGACGCTGTGTTTGGATAAATGTCCAATTTGCCTCTCTTTCTCCCACAGCCAAGATTTCGGAGATTGAGGAGGAGCAGGAGGACCCGTACCTGAACGACCGCTGCAGAGGTGAGGCCCTGCTCCCTCCAGCGGGCCGTGAATCATGTCCTTGGGAGTCTGACGTCCTGGGAAGAGCACTTGGGCTGAGTCAGCTGAAGTCGCTCTGTCCTCCCTGCACTCCTGGGCCCCCTTCCTCCTTCCCTGCGGGCTGGGGCCTGATGGGCCAGGGGGAGACAGGGTGAGCTCACAGGAAGGGGCCGTGTGGGCCCTTAAAAGCTCCCAGCACAGCGTCCCCCCCCCCCCCC